GGTCCAACAGGGCATTTCCTCTGGTGGGACTGTGCACCTCCTGAATTAAGTGGAGGTCCTGTATCTCGGCCAGGAACCTCCTGGAATGGTCCGACCTGGCCGACTGTTCCTCCCAGCAGATGTCCGGGTAATTTAAATCACCCATGACAACTACATCCCTTGTCTTAAGTGCCTCTGCAAGCTGGCCCAAAAATTCCCGGTCCAGCTCCTCCCCTTGGTTGGGGGGCCTGTAGTAGACGCCCACCGTTAGATCCCTCTCCCCACAGCCCCCTTGTATCTTGACCCAGAGCACTTCTGCTTGCCCCTCTGACCCCATTTTGCTGGCAGAGGATGTGTATTGCTCCTTGGCATAGAGCACCACACCCCCATCTTTCCTTCCTTCTCTATCCCGCCTGTAAAGCCTATAGCCCCTAATGCTAACTGCCCAGTTGTGGGATGAATCCCACCAAGTTTCTGTAAGCCCTATTATGTCTGGGTCTGAACTGGCTATTCTGAGGGCGAGTTCCTCCTACTTATTCCCCATATTACGAGCATTGGTATATGGGCATTTAAGGCCGTGCCTAGCTGCATGCGCCACCCCCTGATTTGGGAGACTGTTTGGTCCCCTGTTTGGGCACTCCTTGCATTTGTTACCTGTGTTGCTCAGGTGGTGTCTCCTCATCTTCATGCGGCCCCTTCCCCCGGCGAGACTAGTTTAAAGCTCGCCGTACGAGATCAGCCAACCTGGAAGAGAAGACACGCTTGCCTTTAGGAGAGAGGTGAAGCCCATCCCACCCCAGCAAGCCCCCTGCCTGAAAGCATGGGTCATTATCAAAGAACCCAAGGCCTGCCTGGTGGCACCAATTGCATAAGCGCCGGTTGACCTCACCAATGCAGGCCTCGTGTCGCCATCCCCTCCTGCTCACCAGAAGAAGAGAGGAGAATACCACCTGCACCCCCGTCTCCTTAAGCTTGTCCCTCAGAGCCTTGAAATCCTTCATAATGCAATCAGGGTTGCCCCTGGCCGCATCATTTGTCCCCATGTGAATGACAACCATGGGATACTGGTCTGCAAGTCGGATGTAGGCCGGGATCCTCTCCATGATGTCTCTAACCTGAGCCCCAGGCATGAAGCAGACCTCCCGTGTCATGGGGTCAGGCCGACAGATGGGACCTTCCAGTCCTCGTAGGATGGAGTCTCCGATGACAAGGACCTGGTGTTTCTTCCTGCTGGTGTTCACTCTCTGCCCATTCTTTACCATGTGGGGAGTGGCATCGTCATTATCTTTCTCCATCACAGCTGCCAGGGCATCGAACCTGTTCCCCAGGTGAACCTGGGGAGCTTCCACCACTCTAGGCCTAGCAGCTCTGGATTTGGACACCTTCTGCCACTCCTGTGTTGGATGCTTCTCCTGTGGGGGTTGTACAGTGGGCGACCGGGCCTGCAGAGAACAGAAATATGCATCAATTTCATCCTCTGCATCCCTGATGCCCCTCAGCCTGCTCACCTCAGCCTGGAGCTCCCTCACCTGCTCCTCCAGGGCCCTAAGTCGTTGTGCACAGGAGGGGCAGGCAAGGGGACTATGAGGCCCCACCACCCACCAGGACCCCACCGAGCCCCCTCCACAGACAGGGGGGTAAGGGGCCACCAACCCCACCATGTGCTTCATCCGGGTGGAGGCCTCAGAAGAGCCCATGGCAGGCAGCCGTGCCCGGGAGGGGCCCCTGGCAGCTGTGCTCCGCATCTGCACCATGTCTGCAGACATGGACATATTAGTCTTCCAGGATACTCAAAATGTTTGAGTCATTTGTATTACTGTATGTACATTCTCTATTTCTGAGTTGGTAATGTCCTGGTCATTTTATATGTACCGAGCAGTACTATAGAGTCATTGGTCTTTGCTGGTCTCTACTTTTATAATATGCATAAGTATGGCCAAATACAGACATTCAAAAAGCCCAAGGAAGAATTGATATAACCTATGTGGATTTCTGTAAGTGGCCTAGGTTAGATTGGTATCAAAAAGAACACATGTTCACTCTTTGGTAGGGTGGGGAGCACGTAGGCAGGCTGCCTGAACTGGCCAAAGCCTGCATGTTGGGGGTGCTTCTGCATGCCTCCAAGTGTGCCTTACAGGCTCCCCGGGCTGTCAGAGAGAGCCAACTACAGCTGAGAACCTGGACTACCCCTGATCAGCTGCTGGACACAGGCAAGCACACCCCCAACCCCCTGCCCCTCCATACCCTTCCCCCACCCTAATACTTTGGGACCCTGGAGCTCTGGGCGAAAAAGCCTTGCAGCACTTCAGGCGCCTCTGGCCCAGGTACCTGCAGGCAATGGCTTAACTGTGGAGGTTACAGAGTTGCCTCTGTGCAGGCCCAGGCCCAGTGCTCTGCCCCCTGCCACCCCGACCTACCAGAGGCAAGCTACCCAGACCAGATCTTGCTAGGGTGCTGGATGCAGGAGGAGGAGGCCATGCTGGGGTCTGGGTGGCAGGGTGCCTGGCTCTGACCACTGAGATGTGGTGTGCAGGAGCCAGGGTCAGGTTTGTGGGATTGTGCCTCACTGAGTATGTAGGAGCCGTGTTCAGGCTCTATGTGGCCTTCCTGAGCACAGGGCATGGGGTTCCCTGGCTAGGTGTGCAACCCAAGTCCAGCTCAGTAGGGCTACACCCAAGCATGGGGGTTTTCCTGGCCTCTGTGTCAAGTCCGTATGTACATTGTGGGGTGCTTTGTGACAGGGTGTGGGGACACAGCCTAGAGACATGGGTGCCTAGGTCCTGGAGCTCATACAGGGGACACAGACTCCCCTCCCTGCTACCTCCCTGTAGTTGACAGGTGGCCAGAGGCACAGTCAGAGGCCAGAGGCAGAGTC